TAACACTTTAACTTAACTACGTACGTACGACATAGTTAAGTTAGTTTATTAGTTGTAAGTAAGTAATACTACTACTCTCGTTCTACTACTCTCTCTCTCTCTCTCTCTCTCTCTCTCTCTCTCTCTCAACAACACAAGAATTACTCTCATGGACGTCTAGTAAATACTTTCTCTCATAGAATTCAGTAAATACCTCTCTCTCTCTCTCTCTCTCTCAGAAAAAAAGTGAAAAGGAAAAGACAAACTCCTCTGTGAAATGCTGATGCCATGTCCCAAGTCCTAACAGCTGAATACAAGAGGATCATTCCTAATATTCTCTCTATGGTTGTTGGCATCTTGCTTATTATATCAGCCTCTATGTCATTACCATATACCAAGATGCAGAGGAATCTTATACGCATTTTGATAGACTGTATGATCCATATCTTAGGCTCGTTCCCTTTGTCTCATATTAAACCTTGGAACCCCCATTTGAACAGACCATCCGAACTTAATGAGGCACCTTCACTCAGGAAATCCAGAGACAATCCAAGTTTATGAAGGAGCATTCACTTCGAGGAAATCAAAGACTGTCCATTCCGAAGTGAGTGCTTCGAAAAAGATTAGAAGTTAGATTCTGGAACACACAAATGGGAACCTCCGTATCCCACTATCTTGAAGAAGAATTAATATTTCAAAGAATGGGTCAAATGTTCCAATTTATGAATTTAAGAAGAACTTTAATCTTGGAAAATCAGAACCATATATTCAAAAAACAAATATTTTATATAATATAAAGTTGGAGGAAGATGGAACAATTTTGCTTACCTAAGAATAGGGGTGCAATTTGTGATCCTTTATAAATAAATACAAAAAAAGTCAAAAAAAAAGAATAGGTTAGGTCACCCAAACTGCCCGGTCAACCTGAACCCAGTCCAGGTCTGGACCGGCCAAGTGGACCCTGTTGGTCAAGTCTGGGTCCAACAGACCCAGACTGACCAGGTCTGGGTTCTGCCTGCACCAATATGTTTTGGGTAGGGGTAGGCCCGGCCATTGTGTGTGTGTGTATGTGTGTGTGTGTGTGTGTTCACCTGACGCAGAGGATCAGGTCCATGCCCATGTCTGGGTCTGCCCTAGACTCTTAACGGTTTACTGCCCATCAAAGAAAAGCTTGAGTTAAGCGTTTGGTGTTGGTTCAGACAGCTCCATCTTCCAAACAAGCTTAGGAAACTTCAAAAACCTTAAACAGATCAAACTAGGCCTATACCAGTAAGAACACAGGAGCTCATGCAAACCCATTTCTTTCCACTATAAATATTCACAATAAGGATCTCTATTATGTAACTCCCAAGGTCAAATTTCATGCATTCCTAATATTTTTGCATGCAACTGGTACACTTAGCATCTTGAAATGAATAAAATATCATATACTATTTGCACAAAACAACGGATTTAAATATATTCAAGAGGATTTTGGTTGTTGTATACAAAATAAGTTTCACCATTTTCTTCAAAAGCAAGAGATTTTGCCATATGCCTCTCCAATGGGTGAATCTGATAAGGGGTGGGGTTTAGGTGCATCCCTAGCAAACCTAGTCTAGCATCAACCTTCCAAGTCCATCTTGGATATGGATTGGATCCAAACTTTACACATCTATCATCTCAATCACCACGATCATGAATATGTAAAAACAAAAATGAATTTTGAGCCTCAAAAGGGGGTCCATATTGTACCCTTTCTTGGACAATTCATTTCAATCTTCAAAGATCATTAGATCTACACAGTTTTTGCAGTTCCAAATTCACGAATCTGAGGTGGAAATGGATTTATAGTGTTTAGGGAGTTTTTTGGTTCCTAAACCCTTGAAATCCAGGGGGGGGGGACACATGAGTTGGCGGACTCACCACAAACGTTTTGCATGATGAGCAACGCCAGTTTCTTACTGGTATTCATATCCAAGAGGTTGACCACATTACTCTCTCAACTGTAGGCATGCAAACCATATTGCTGACTTTTTAAAATATTTCAATCTAATTCATGAAGTTTCAAGTTTAAAATCTACAACAGGTCCATTAATCCAATGCACGAATCAGGCAGCAAGAGTAGATCTGGATTAAGTCTATAACTTTTATCTACTAAGGACGAAAGTTCTTTGACAATTTTAATTATGGAGAGAAAGAGAGAGAGAGAGAGAGAGAGAGAGAGAGAGAGAGAGGTAGGT